CTATAAGAAAAAATAATAATTAATTATATTTTAGTACTTCTGGTCTTACTTTTTGAGTCATTTATTTAATTAAATTAATTTTTTTTATTAAATATAATTTTTTTAATTTAAATTTGATTTAATTTATATTGTTTATTTTTTATTTTAAATTATAATGTAATTGTTTTGTAACCGCTGAAGCGATTTTCGGCCGAGCTTCTCCTCCAAGTTGTGGTTTTGCGTCTTGATATTTTCCCAACCAGATGGGGGGACCTACTGTTTATACTAAGCCGTCGCGAACGGTTGATGGTTTTTCACGCGACGCAATTAGAAAATTTAGCGTATTTTTTTAATTAAATTGATTTTCTATAACTTTTTGGATTCTAGTACGACACCTGGATTTGAGGCTGAGCCTTCCAAACGGCAGTACGCAATGCTTATCACTCGGCTACATTAATTTTTTTATATTATTTTACTTTATTTTATTTTATTTCACTTTTTTAAATTTATTATTGTTTTAAGTTGTAGTGTTTAGTTTTTTTTTTTAAACTGATTTATTTAAATTTATTTTATTTTAAATACATTCTTTAAGTTTTTTATTATTATTTGCCTTAGTATTCCATTTTATTTTATTTAATTTATTTTAACCTAATTTTATTTTATTTTTATTTTTTAAATTTCATTTTATTTTCCTTTATTTTCTTTAATTTATATTATTTTATTTTAATTGTGTACCTTTATATTTTTTAGATTAATTAATTTATTTTTTTGATATTTTTTATTTATTGATTTTATTTTATGTAGTTGAACTTGATTTAATTTAATTTAATAAAAGTTAATTCAATTTAATTTAATTTTTAATTTTTATTTTTTTTTTATTTTATTTAATTAACATAATTACTTACTTTAGTCTATTTTATTCCACTTTATTTCATTTTATTTTATTTATATTAGTTAAACTTAATTTTGTTTTATTTATATTAATTTATTTCATATACACTCATTGCGTTTTAATTTTTTTTAATTTATTTTATATTTTTATTTCTGTTTTCTAGTTTTATTTCTTCTTATTTGACTTTGTTTTAGACCAAATAATTTGGTTTAAATTATTTTTTATTACTTTATTTTTCTCTATTCTGGGCCATTTCATTTAAATTTATTTTATATTTTATTTAACGTTTGTTATTTGATTTTGTTTAATTTTGTTTAGTTTAACTTAGTTATATATATCTTGGTTTTTTTATTTATTTTTTTAATTTAATTATAATTTTGAATTTTTTTTATAGTTGTGTTTTTAGTTTTTAATTTTTTGGTTGTTTTATTTCACGCCAATTGATTTGGTTTAATTTATTTTATTTTGTTTTGAATTTAATTTATTTAATTTTTATATTATAATTTTATGTTTCAGATAATTTTTAATTTAATTGAGCTTCTTTTAATTTATATCACTTTATATGTTTTTATGTTATATATATTATTTGTTATTTTGTTTGTCGTGGAATGAATGGTGCGAGGTTATACATATATTCGGCTAAAATCGCGGTGCATACGCCAGTAAAGTAAGTGTAAGTAGTTATTTTATGGTAATCTATACAATTTAATTTTTTTCGTTTTTTTTTTTTAATTTAGGTAATTTTATTAGAAATTTTTTTTGAACCATATTCATATTTTGTAGTAATTTTTTATATTTTGTTTCATTTAAATTAATTTATTAGACTTTTTTAACTAAAATTAAGTATTTTCCGTAAAGCAAACTCTAAACTCCCCTCCTCAGTCTTTGTTGACTAACTGTTTCACTCGGCAGCTGTATTGGCATAAAGTATTTGTTGGTTATACTGAAAATCATGCCAACAAAATCAACAAACTGCAACTTCTAACAACATCCAACAACTCACTCTCGGTGTCAACTTGCAGCCAACACGATCGTTTGCTGATCGATTATTTACTTTGCGCTACAATAATATTTTGCCGATCACGCAATCGCATAGCAAATAATCAGCAAATATGTACATAGAGAGGAACAGTAATAAAACTGGCGAATAGTCGAACAACTCAGTTGACATCTCAATTTTCAGTTAATGATATTTCAGAATTACCAATACAACCAGAAAAAAATCTTTTCAATAGAAATTTCGACAGCGAAAATAGCATTTGATTAGTGCAAAGGCCCGTTCCGATTACGCCAACAACTGAATTAGCCTGAGGCTGTGTACTTATACGTATGCTCGTTAGAGCAGCTTCTAAGGTTGCATGCAACTTGAGCCGATAAGCGTGCAAATTCTGAAATTTGGTTTTCCGACTGTCAGTCTCCCCTTGCCTGGTTGCCTTGCTGTGTTGGCCGATGAATTTCATTTTTTTGGCAAACAATAATCACACTGAGCGATTTTTACCTTTGCGACGCCCAGACTTTTTGCTCATTTTCAGTTACATAATTTTCTATTTGCACACATTTTTTTTTTTGCGTTTGTCTTTGTTATGGCCAAAGGCGAAAATTTGTTAAATGTCTTTTGTGCATATTTTACATGATATTATCACAACATATATACATATATATATAAATATATATATATATGTACATATCTCCAAGATATCACTGAAAATATCATCAATAGTAAACAAATAAATTATTCACAGCAAACGACATAAAATATGTATGGCTATGTAAGTATATATATAGATGTGTGTGTGTGTGTGTTTAATTGAATGCCATGACAAATAGTCACCGAAATCATAGCAAACATACCTAAATAAACACGCTAACGACAAATGTAACAACATAATTTTGCGGCTCAGTTTGCGTCGGGGAAAAATGGTGAAATTGTCGAAAAAGGTGGATGCTGCTGCGGATGAGGATGTTGTGTGAATTCACAAGGGGAGCGGCGAGGTGAGGGCATAGAGGTCATGCCAAATAGTAGTTGAATGTGACAGTTTTCCATAAAAGCAATTCATTTATGGACCATTACACTGGAAGAAATTGACAGCTGGATTAAGAATGTGAAAAGCAGGCGAGCCTGGACTTCAGATATAACGCATGTAGTGACATAACGAGTCGCTTAACAGAAGGTCTGGCACATAAATGTGGCGAAGGGCTTGAACGTAGAGTAAGATAGAGAGCGAAATCTTTAGTCGAATTTCCGTACTTGTCTAAATATGTTTGTTTTCGGTCAGAAAATCGTAAAGGCCTCTGAGTTCAGGCTTTATGACAAGTTTATCGTCTCTCAACCGGAAGTGCCAAGAATAAAGCAAGTAATAGATTTACCGTTTCAGTTACGTATAGCATCAAGCTGTTGTTTGATTTGGCTCAAAGACACTGTAAAATCTCTGATAAGCGTAGAGGTGGAGAGCCCTTTGTGTCGAAATCATCACCCATATTAGCTATGCTCTTCCCTGAACTGAGAAACCGGTTTTTTGTTTATGGTCCATCATTGTACCGATAACGTGGAGAAACGCGGAGATTGCATACCCACCGAAAGTGCATAATAGAACTCCTCAATCTGTCAGGTCTTCATGAAGAAGAGTGCTACTTGCAGCCTTAGATGTTACCCAATCGGATGGAAACATGAACATTTCTGTCATGCAATAAAAAGTTAATATTTCCGAACTAAGACGCGTTCAATGGCAGATGTCAGCCTCTGGCGGCTCGTGCTCGGGTACCACGCAATTTCCGATTTAGTTGACAATTGAAGTGGCTAGAGCTCAGGGTCACAATGGCTAGTTGAGTTTTCATGGCACTGAGATTAAATTAAATCTTCTTCTTCTGCCACTCTCTCATTTCTACGCTCAGTGTACTTCGTTATTATTGCTTTTAGCATCAAAATTTGTCAACGTTCCTGTGTAAACAACTAAATAAACAAGCACAAAATATGAAATGAAAACAAGCTACCAAATTGCAACACTGCAAACTCAGCTCCAGCAAACACTCGCTGGAATGTATGTATATAACGCTTATCTGCGTATGCCCAGAGAGGGTTGACTGTCATGCAGAAAAATGGGCAGTAGAATATGTCATCGAACAAATAAATTAAGCAAAAACAAACTGAATAGCAGGGAAATAAATTCTCAGCCGCTCTCACTGTCACCGGGCACAGCGCAGATTTTCAGGGCGGCTGTCACTCAATTTGTAGCTTTCGGCTACCGTTTGGCACTGGGAACAGTGGCGCAAATCGCATTTACCCCGCTAACCACATTGCTGAGAATATTTTCCGCTATAAGGACATATGTATGTATGTATGTATGTAGGTGTGTTGGCTTATTTGCTTACGTAGTATTTGCACAGCAGGATATGCAGCGACATTTAGCTGATCTAACAGTTATACGGCGACAGGATGGTAGCTACAGACAATCGTATAAAACGAAGTAGAAATTTTGAATTCGCCAAAAACTCCGTTACATTACATTTTTCAAATATTCAACCAACAGTCGGAAAGCAATAAACAACCAACAACATATGTATATATGTAAACACTACTTGGCTGGTAAGCGTTCGGTAAACAATACGCACTACGCACGAAGAAGCCATGCGCTGCTGAGGCCTGATGTTGTTTACCCAATGGATTTTACGGATTTTTGACATTAACGTAATTGTTGGAAGGAAATTATTTGCTTATGAGTCCGCAGAAGGCAAAAAAGCGTTACAAATGAATAATTGCTTACATACATATATGGTTATATGTACATCCCAGGCGCAGCATTAGACAAAAGTCGTTAGATTATGACGTTAAATGCTTAATGTTGTTTGGCGTCGTCTGCTTTTAGGCGTTTACACCAGTGCGAATAGTTCATCGAGCACCCGTTAAAGTAAATATACACTTAAATAAATACATTTTACACATATGCTTTCATGCGTCAATTCACGTAGATTACATGCACTTGTGAGCATTATTTGGTTTCGATATTTGCTGCTGGCAGCTCGCAGTTAAATGACTTTTATGCTAAACCTGCGCTAGGCTAATACGGAGCAATTACATATTAACATATCTTCATCTGTATATATGTACATATTTATAATAATATTTGCTTACCTGCACTCTTGATTCTGGTAGATTTATTTTCAGCGCCACTTCTTCTCTCATAAATATATCTGGATAACGCGTCTTACCGAATAATGCCTCCAGCACGTCCAGCTGGGCGCGTGTGAATGTTGTACGCTCACGTCTCTGCTTGCGGGTGTTAACACCTGTGGACGAGTCTCGTTAATATTGATATTTTTGAGCAAAAGTAATGCCTAGCGATGCGTTGGAATGTGGCAGGGAATACAATTTTATGCATACATATGTATTTATTTAGACATTTTATTAAAATAAATTTAATAAAAAAATAAATTTAAATAATTGAATAACAAATAAAATAATACAAAATGAAATGTAATAATCTAAAATCAAATCAGAAAAAAGAATTAAAAGTAATAAAAATAAATTAAATGAAACATAATAAAGAAATAAATGAAAAATTAAATAAAATAAAATAATATATCTAAAACAAAGTAAACAAACTAAAACAGGGTGAAATAAAATAAAATATTATATAAAATTAAATTGATAAAAGATAATGCAAAATCAAATAATATTATATAAAATAATATAAAATATAATATATTTATTTATAATTAACTAAATTAAAATAAAATAAATTAAATTAAAGAAAGAAAAACTAAAGGAAACCAAATAATATAAGCTTAAATGAAATAAAATAAAATTAAATAAAAATTAAATAGAATAAAAAAAAATAACGCAACATTAAAAAAATTAAATAATATAAAATAAAATAAATGTAAAATATATTTGATTTAATAAATAAATTAAAAAGATTTAAAGCAAAACAAAATAAAATAAAATCAAAAAATCATATAGTTCATTTTTGTAAAAATGAATTATAATAATATAATATAAAATAAAATAAAATTATAAAGATGTAATATATTAAATAAAATAAAATAAAACAAAGTATAAATAAAATTAATTAAAACAAAATAAAAAATATATTGTTATATAAAATAAGAGAAAAAAGTAAGATAAAATAAGAGAAACTAAAATAAAACAAAATAAGAATTAAATCAAATGGAGTAAAGTAAAATATAATAGACCAAATAAAAATGAAAAAAGCATAAAATTATTAAAAAAAAATAAATCAATTTTATTAAAACATGAAATTAATAAAAAAAAATAAAATAAAAAATGATTAGTTATAATAATAAAAACAAATTATATTAACTTAAAATAGATTGAAATGACATAAATTAAAATAAAGACACGAAAATGAGGCAAAAAATATATGTATTGGATGAGTGCATAAGTTCGTGCCCGATTCCGCTAGATGCCGTTCGAATCGTTTGAGAGTGGCGCTCGTGAAAGAAATATATACATATTATCGTTAGAAAGGTGACAGTCCGAACTGTAAATCAAGCATAAAATAACTTCATTTTGATTTGAGTTGCTTAGTGAAAAGACGCATGGAAGATGGACAACAAAAAGATCATATGCGTCATATTATGTTATACGAATTCAGCAAAGGAAAAACAGTAGGCGCTGCAACTAAAGATATTCGTGAAGTTTATTTGGACCGTGCTCCAGCACTCCGCACAGTAAAGAAATGGTTCGCGAAATTTCGTTCTAGAGATTTTCACCTCGAGGATCAACCTCGCAGTGGACGGCCTTCTGAGCTTGATGACAATGACAACGCCAGGCCACATGTTGTAAAACCGACCCTGGCCAAACTGAAGGAGATGAATTGGGAAATCATGCCGCATCCCCCATATTCACCCGACATTGACGTTGAGAATGGATTGCCGAACATGATGGCGAATACATAATTGATTAATAAAAGCGCTTTCTTCAAAAAGTTTCAATTTTAGTTTGCACTTGAAATCGGGCACGAACTTATGCACTCAAAACCAAATTAAATTAAAACAAGAAAAAAGGTGTGTTTTTAACCACGGCCATATCAATTTTAGGGTATTTCATTCTAGTATTAAATATTAATTCAATCCATATCTGAAAAATTGTATGGAGAGAACTGAAGCTTTAATGTGTAGATGACTTTCTGAGTCAATATATATGTGTATACAAATATATTTTGGTGAGTGTTAAGCAAAAACTCTTGCTCTGGGATGCTTTATGACGGATTTTTGATCTAAACATCTTATCTGAACAAATTCGTAAATTATAGTATTCCGATTTCAATGCGTATAGCACTAAATATCACGTTCTTGTATAATTTTTTGACAATACGTATAGATATATATATGTTATCCGAAATATCACTATTTGAATTTAAAGGCGTATTTGTGTACCAAGTTCGATTGAAATATCTCAAAAACTGAAGGTGTAGTTTGCGTACAAACAGATGGACTAAATCAACCCCACTGATCTGATCGGTATACATTTTTATGACTCTATCTCTTCTCCCTCTTGTACATACATAATTCGGACCAAAATTAATATACCATTTCATGTACATGCGACTCCGAACGACTGATGGTTTTTTTATGAGGAGCGGCCGCAATTAGAAAATTTAACTTATTTCTTTAATTTTTAAATTAATTTTCCGTAACTTTTGGATGTTGGTGGCACCGGGATATGAGCCCGAGCCTTCCGAATGTCAGTACACAATGCTAACCACTCGACGTCCTTGAGCTTGACTACGTATAAAGCTGATAGAATAAAAAAAGACTAAGCTCAATAATAACCCGTCGCAGTAAGAAACTCTGAGAAGGGAATATACTTTTCAATTTCGCTGAAATGTTTTCTGTAGTTTGTGATGCGAGTTTTCCTGTTGAGAATCAAATACGATTGATAGTAAAATCTTTGAAGAACTGAATTGCTATCATTGCAAATAAGCCGGATATCATCAAAGAACAAAGTACGAGTATGTAAATATTATTTTAGAGTATGTACATATATACAAATATATTTGTTTTCATTATAACAAAACAATGCAAAGTCAAATTGACATAATTTTGTTTCGTTTGATTCGTTAATTTCATGAAAAAGATCATGGTGAGTAGAAAAAATAAATTTCAGACTTAACGAAATTTTTAAAGTCACTAAGACTGTGCACATACGTTTGTATATATGTATATATATATACATAAGTGGCTACACACCTATTCTTTAAACAAAAATATGTATTGTATGTAAATAAGTTAGGAAGCATTCGTATACATACATATGTACGTATGTAAAATGTGTATTAGAAAGCCACCTCATTTGATTTCAACCCTCCGTTGCTGGTGAAAGCATATACATATAAACACATTTATACGTATTGTATATAACAACCCTTATTAGCATTACATTAGAAATGTGATAGTATTTATATATATAGATATATATATAGGTATATACGTTTACAGTAAGTAAGTTTTGATTGTAACGTTCTCAATTGGGTTGGTCTCTATCACGCAAATACTCTTCTATATGCAACGCACGGGTGGTGGTGCTGCTGGCACACGAGCAAAACCGAAATAAGCCAAGTGGTTGGTTGACTGTCTAGTGGACTGAAGTAGCGAGCTACCTATCCTTATATACTGTACTATGTGATGTGTGGAAGGATATGTACGTATGTTTATATAGGGTCGCATGTATATTGTCTACCTCATTGTATGCTGTGCCCAATCTCTATTGTGCAGACACAACACGATATAGTAAATGTGAGTCCTAAGCCGTTCGGCTATTGTTCGTTACCGTTAAAGGTACGATGGTTTTACGTATAGTATGCACATGTAGATATTTGCTCTAACTGTATGCGTGTCCTTTTGTGTCCTTTGCTGTGTATGGCTGTGGTGAACTATTCTTGTTGGTGTACTTATTTTAGCGGGGGAAATACGCGTTACATGTTTAGTAGAATGTGCTATACGACATTTTTTGTTTTTGATATTGCGTGCTGTTGCTTTTCATTTTTTCGTTTCTTCATTTTTTTCTTCTATTTTTTTTTGCGTTTGCGCACCCTTTCTCAACCGCTCGCCTTCCAGCTGGTTTTATTTTATATTTTTTTTTTTTTTAATTTTTTTTTTAACTGATTATGTTCTCGTTGTGTCCCCGTTGTAGTAGCAGCAACAACAACGATATATACGATTTAAAAATATTATTACTGGCGGGAGAGGGTGCGATCTTTTTCTGGTAATTTTGTAATGGAGGATCCTGCGCTTTAATGTACTTACTTAATGGGAAAGTCATTGCTATTATATGTTTGTACGTATGTATAAATGCTGTACGATCCTTTCGTATTTAATCCCAAATGCTAAGCACTGAATTTATTAATTCAATTGCATTTGCTATTGCAGCTGTCACGAAAAAATGGCCGCCACATACAGGGTTGCATATGCCACCGCAGTGCTTGCAAGGGTATAATTATAAATAGAAGTCAAGAAAAATTTCCTTGATTTCGAATACTTATTGAGTTTTCATTAAAGTGTCAATGATAGCATAAGATAATCCCCGCTAAGCTGTACTTTCTAAGTTTTGACTTTCCCGCTGATATTTCAAATTTAAAAAAATCAAATAAAATGTGATAAAACAAATTAAATTAAATTTAATAAAACAAAGTAAATAAAGATAAAATAATTAAAATAAAGTAAAAAAAATTAACTAAAATAAAACAAAATAAAATAAACTAAGATAAAATTAAATACAATAAATAAATTAAAAAAAATAAAATAAAATAAAATAAAATAAAATAAAATAAAATAAAATAAAATAAAATAAAATAAAATAAAATAGAATAAAATAAAATAATATAAAATGAAAGAAAAAAAAGAAACCACACAAATTAAAGAAAATAGTTGACAATAAAATAGAATAAAATCATAAAAATAAAAAATAATAATTTAATTAAATTAAGAAAAAAAATAAAATAAAATGAAAATAAATATAATAATTTAAACTAAGCTGAAAATCATATAAAAAAATATTACAAAATGAAAAAGGTAAAATAAAATAAAATAGAATATTTTCAATCATTAAAAGCAAAAGCAATTAATATAAGATAAAGTAAGATATAAAAAGGTAAAATAGCATAAATGAATGAAAAATTTTTTTAAAATAAAATAAAATAAAATAGAATAAAATAAAATAATATAAAATGAAAGAAAAAAAAGAAACCACACAAATTAAAGAAAATAGTTGACAATAAAATAGAATAAAATCATAAAAATAAAAAATAATAATTTAATTAAATTAAGAAAAAAAATAAAATAAAATGAAAATAAATATAATAATTTAAACTAAGCTGAAAATCATATAAAAAAATATTACAAAATGAAAAAGGTAAAATAAAATAAAATAGAATATTTTCAATCATTAAAAGCAAAAGCAATTAATATAAGATAAAGTAAGATATAAAAAGGTAAAATAGCATAAATGAATGAAAAATTTTTTTAATATCAAATAAAATAAAATGAAATAAAATAAAATTTAATAAAATAATGTCAATGAAACAAAACGAAATAAAATCAAAAATGTTTTTATGTATTTTCGTAGAAAATTCGTAAAAAATCACACTTACATTTGAAATTACATTCACTAATATAGTGAAAATTTCTAATTATAGTAAAAACTTTTAAAATTGTATACAGCTTTATGACCTATGCAACTAAACAGTTCCATTATGAGCTCTACAGAAGTGAAGCTGCTAAGCTTGACAATCAAAAACTAATATTTTTTTAAAGTGCCTCAGTTATGGGCTCATAATTACCATGTTACTCCTCATTGATTTTTTCTTCTTATGGCATCATCTAAGGTTCATAGCGTTAATGTTATAATTTTTATTTATCTCGTTTGAAAGTAACAACCACTCGCTGTTGCTTCGTCGACATTTATCAACTCATATTCAATAAAACTAATCATTTGCTTTCTTCTATTCCATTCCACTTTGCTCAACAATTTGTCGTTGATTATCTTCTGGTGCACAGCAACAAAAAATAAAAAAAAAATAAAATACATTTCGTTTATCATCATTTGTCGTCTGCTGCACGCTTTCCTTAATTTTCTTTACTTGACTCAGCGCTCGGTTTACAGTGTTTGTGCATATGAGAATTGCTAGAACGACATGTTGTTTATTTTTCGGAAACGACGTAAGTTAAGATTAGAGATATTTAGAAAGAATTTTTCTTCAAAAACTGCGCGTAAGCTAAAATACTGCTTTGAACATTCTAAAGAAAAAAATACATTTTCGATTGTTTTTCCTGAAAGGATTTTATTATAGATATGTTATAAAAACGATTGGGAAATCTTTTTTTTTTAATTTTCGTTCAAAATTTATTTACAAAAATATATGAAGGGTTGAGAGGAAATTATGAAAATGTGTTCTAGACCCAACTGCCCACTGAATCTAGGCTAAAAAAACTCTAAATGCTATTTTTCGGTACTCTTTTTCTATTTTACACACAACTTTTATAATTAATTGAAAATTCCAATTAAGCAATTATTATAAAGTTTGTAAACTTCTTCCCATTTACCTCATACTTTGACTTCATTTATGGCACTTTCAATTTGTCATTTTACTTCACACTTCCTGGATCATTTCAAAATTTTTAAAAATATATTTAGTTCATTTCCATACCAAACGTTCCATTGAGCCCATATACCTTATAGGCTTGGCTACCTGGGCCCAGTTTAAGTTGGCTCATTATTCATTTTGACAATATTATTGATAATGATGTCGATCGGTGAATGGCGTGTGAGTAAAATATTGAAAACGTTTATTGTTACGTGCACAAAAAAATCTCCTCTTTCTTATTTTTTATTTTTTCTCTTCATTTTTTGTATATTTTTTAATTTTGTTTTTTCTATTTTTTGTTTTTTTTTTGTTTTTTTTTTTTTTTTTTTTTTAATGTAATTTTATTTAATTTTTTTTTTTTTTGATCTTGCGTGTCACAATGATTTGCAGGATGTGACGACAAAATATATGCACACATAACTTTATTCATAAATAAATGTACATATATACAAATATAAATAGCATTTTTCAGCAGCTTTTTGCATAGTTTTAGCCACGTTTTTTCTGCAGGTGGCTTCAAATTTACTCCTTTTCTCTCACTTCCCTTCTTTAATGCGGCATACAACTCGTTCGCATGCTATTGTTGTTGTTGCTTTCCAGTTGAAATCACCCATGTCAGTTTTATTTAAATTGAGTTATCAGTGGCATATCAGTAGCACGAAATTCACTCAGTTAAACAACAACAGCAACTACAAAGCGGCTGGGTTATAGCGTCTGTTTGGTTGCAAGCGGATAGAATGGCTCATTTGTCATATATTGCAGGCAAAAGTATCACTACATATATACACATTTATATATATACATAGCTAAATTTTTTATATAACTTGCAGTCCATTCATCGCAGATTTTCTACATGCACGTCTCAATTTCATTGCGAATCAGTTTCACCACACTTGACTTGCTTGAGCGAGCCAAATGGCAGGCTGATTGCCCGGCTGCCGCGCTAAGTACACATGTGGCTGCCTAACTGGCTAGCCGGACGACTCTTTGTCTGCCGTTAACTTTTTACTGATTTTAGTATCTCTTTTTTTTCTTTTTAGTTTTTGAGGTCAAAATTGTTTTCCAAGCGCATTCATATCTGCATCAGAATTTTTTTCTCAGCGTTTCTGCTTATTATTATTTTAATATTTTACCCCCACTATCTTTTATTCCGAACTCGCTCTTTTACTCAGAAATGCATTACAATGCAAGTTCGAAGCATGATTTTCAAGTTTTCATTTTCTTTTACTTCAATACACGTTGAAATCGATACGAATTCTGTTGCAAGGTGAGGTTTGTTCTCCCATACTTTACACTGGCTATTGATGATTTTCTGAGACTGTTATTGCTTTTGTTATGTTGTTGTTTTTTGGTTTTTTATGTTGCATTTTTGTACATTTACGATTGTGTTTGTTTTGAAATCTAGCAGGTCTTATTGTCAAATCAGTTTTTTATACCCAAATATTTGTGTTAAAATTTGTTGTCTTTATTTTTCAATAGAATTCATAAAACGGTGTTTTATAGCGGTGTTTCGTATATGCATTTTGTACCGAATGCAGCCAATTTGTTTATAATTTTACGGGTTATTGCACCTGATCATTGCTCTGTTACTTTGGTGTGGGACTTGTATGGATATTTTCTTTTATGGCATAGAATGATATGCACTTTTCTCATAAAAAAAAATTATGGAAAAAATGTTTAATGGAGAAAAACTATGGGAACAAGTAAAATGAAAAAATAAATAAATAAAATAGAAAAAATGAAATTAACTATTTTAAAATGAAATTGTATAAAATAAATAAAGTAAAATAAAATAAAGTAAACTAAAATAAAATAAAATAAAATAAAATAAATTAAAATATTTTTCATTAGTTTCAAAAAACGAAAAAGTTTATAAAAATAATTTAGCAATAAATATAAAATTTTCTACATACATACATATGCATTTTAATTTAATAAATATTAATTTAGTATTCCCTGTAATGAAATAAAGTGTTCTTATTATTGTAAACAAATTAGCACTTTCATAATTCGTTAAATCAAATATGTTCTTCAAGAATATAAGTATATACAAGTGCATATTTTTTTTTTTTTTTTGTCTTTTTTGCTCAGAACACTTAACTTTCCACATTGCCAAACGCATTTAACGCACTTGCGCCTATATTGATTGAAACTAAGTTTTTGCTACCAAAATCGGTTCGATATTTACCCCACATACCTTGGGAAAACCCAACAGCATCTAAACCATGAGGTATTCCGAAGGGTCCCAATGAAGTCATCGGCATTCCTGGCGGCAACGGGCCATGCGGCACCGAATGATGTGGATGCGGGCCGCCATAACTGTGTGGATGATGACCGAAATCACCGGATTTTAATAAACCCGCAGCCATTAAGGCTTCCGTCGAGTGGAGAGCCACGGTGAATGATGTTGAATTAACTGGTGGGGATCTAAAATAGAGGACAGAGAAAATGCAATTATAGTAGAGTTTATTCAATTTTGTGATGGAATAATAAATGAAGAAAATTATAAATAAATAAAGCATAATAAAATTAAATCAAATTTAAATAAAAGCATAAATTTAACTAAATTAAATAAAAAAAAATAAAATTAAAAAAAAATAAAGAAATGAAATCAAAAAAAATAAAATAAAATAAAATAAAATAAAATAAAATAAAATAAAATAAAATAAAATAAAATAAAATAATATAAAATAAAATAGAATAAAATAAAATAATACGAAATGAAAGAAAATAAAAGAAGCCACACAAATTAAAGAAAATAGTTGAAAATGAATTAAAACAGAATGAAATAAAACAATAAAATAATAAATAAAATATAGAGAAACTAAATTAATTGAAATAAAAATAAACAAAATGGAATGAAATAAAGTATTATAAATAAAATAAAATAAATATATTGAAATATTATATAAAAAATAGAAGGAAATAAAAAAAAGATTGAGAAATTAAACAAAATAAAAGAGTTATTGTATCTTCCTTTCGAGTATCGGCCACCCAAAATTGTGCAACAGGCAACGATTTGCAAAAATTACCACAAAAACTTATCTCCCGTCGGGATTTGCGTGATCGAAACTATCATCAGGGCTAGCTCTAGTATTTCTACAGACAACGCTTCATGGGGTGGTCTCTTAGGACTTTTAGGACAGCACGCTCATATTGACGACGTATAAACATACAGACGTATTGATATTCCAATTTGTGAAATGAGAAAAATGCGTAGAAAATAAACCTACGTGCTATTGCTATTAGTGTTGCTGTTGTTGGGTATTCATAAATTTAAATTTCAGACAGATGTGTTATTAATTTACGTGTGCGCGTGAGCATGTAATTTGGGGTCGAGTATATGGTTACAACCTAATAGCTATTGCTTGCTAACTGCTCTCTTACCGACAATAGGTAATGATGATGATGATGGTGATGTTGCTGGTGACGCTGATGATGAGAAGAATAATGGTGCCGAACTGATTTTGGGTGACGAAAACTGCTCGTCGGAAGGAGATTCAGTGTTGAGCTCAAACAAGAGTACATATACACGTATGTACGTATGTATGTGTACGTATTAGCAAATGCTTTCGAATGCAATGAAACGTGAAAACGATCTGACAAAACAAAACACAAATTTCGCTGGAAAATGGAAAATATGAAAAGTATGGAATGGGGAAAGTCACACACACTGGTATATAGAAACAAATGTAGGGAATCGCTCTAGCTTAGGCGGCCTTAGAGGCGGATCCATTTAAGGTATAAAAGTAGGAATTCAAATGTGCATATTCGTACGTATGTACTCGTATGTATGTATGTAGGTGTATCTCGAACTATGCATGCGGTAGACCAAATCTGTGCAAAGGATCAACCAACTGACAAGCGATCGGCAGGCAGCACAATATGCGAAAGGATAAACCGGCAGGCGAGTCGACGATGCTGACCCAAATGGATATGAAAGGAATGGCACTGCTGCATTTTGCGGTAAATAGTGAGTGCATATGTGAAACGCTTTCGAAGGTGTGGATATGTGAAGTGCAAATTTCTTTTATGTTCATTTTAGTATTTTTGCAAGCCTGCATACCTGATATCTGAATGCTCTCTACATTATTGAAAAGGACCATATTTGTATTTGTATAAGTATATATGTATATGTAGATATGTGACTACACATATGTAAGTAATTTGCACGAACTGCCTAATCCGTCAATTGTTTCGAGACAGTGAGGAGAGTTAATGGAAAATCGCAAAGCCGGCCGTCGTCTGGTCAGAATGCGGCGGAATGCAGAAAGAATGCTTTTAGGACATTTGCGCATATAATACAATCATACTAGCATGTATGTATGTATATGTATAGCTCCTATAAGACATTCATCTGCATATTTTTAAGCCGCCTCTATGTATGTATGCATGCATTTGTCTATTTAAGTAGCGCACTAAATACATGCACTTGTATGTAAGTACATACACGTATGTCAGCATACGTATATACTATGCGTGTACAATAACATTTCTTTTGGCAAATTACCTTTTTCAGTTACATAGATGTAGAGATGAAGAGATAACCATAAAAACTAATCCAGGTCGCAAGATTATGTAGGTCGCTCCATTGTGGCATACAGTTCTTTGTACATCTACGTATGTACATATGTACATATGTAAGCACCTCTTATGAACTAAAATATCTTGTATATTGGTTAATTTTTCGATGAAAAACTAAAAAGGAAAATTATTAGCAAAAAATGGAAAGATCAAAAGGCTACCGCAAATGAGGCGACGAAATGATGATGGAAATTCAACAAAATTCTTTTTGGGTCTGAAAACACATTTTTTTTTTTTGGCAAAACAAAAATTTTAATTGGAACCTGTTAAATAGAGTACTTTAAGAGGAGTACTTCAAAAAGGAGACGAGAATAAAAAAAAAGTTGTGGCGAAAAATATGTGAACGAAAACTGAGAAAATCAAATTAATTAAATAAAAATTAATAATTCAGCAGGAAATAACACCTACTGAGCCTCTGATTGTAATAAATAAAAAATATAAAATGCAGAAAATATTTTTTGACACATAAGAATATCCATAAAAATGAAGCAAAAAAAATAAAATTTAAAAGCCCTGAAAAAAATTAAGAATATTTCAAAGTGCAAAAAAATTTAACAGTAATAAAAACAAAATAATTAATTATAAAGTTATATAACTGTGGTGATAAAAATTTGTTTTAGCATTTGATGCAACAAATTTAGTATTTTATTTTGAATTTAAGCAGTATTAAATTTTTTTGTTTTCTTATTATTTTCCTTTTTAAAACTTAATAGAAACAAACTCTAATTTTGGCAACACAAAGAATGTCTCAGTGCATTTTACATACGGCAGCAACAAATAAGTAACTAAATTTATTAAAACATTTACCAACTGGAAAAATTCTTATTTTGAGGTCTGAAAATAATATTATGGAAATTGAATTTTTACAAAAAATTATTTTGCGATTCCAACAAAAAATTTTAATTTTAAGCATTTATCATAGTCTAACCCTAATATTAAATAAGAAAATTTGCATTAAGAGTAAAAAAAAATGGCAGAATGAGATGCATTGCGTATAAAAAAAAAATAAATAAACATTTTTAAAAATAATTCTAAAAAAATTCAAACAAACAAAAAATAGTAATTAATAAATAAATAAATTTTTAAAAACAATAAAATTTTTTTTTTTCAAATCTACAACAACAAATAAAAAATATTTGTTTTCGCGGTTAGTCCTCAATGATTTCGTTACAATTTTTCAATACATGCATATTACATATATATAATATATTATGAAGAGAAGTTACATTTTTTAAAACAAAACAATATATCAAAATTATAGTGTTGCACTCAACAACAAATTAAAATGCACACTTTTCGATAAAAAATACAATTAACAAAGTATGAAAAAATTTAAAAACTTTAAAATGAAAAGACAACTGTTGAATCTGTGAAAACTCAAAGCAAAAAAATTTTATAAAATTGAATAAATTGTAATATTGTAATATAACTAAAGCCAGTTTGTTGAAAATCATTAAAAAAAATTGATATGTTGATATTATATATGTATTTTTACATGACAACAATTCGTTGAAAATTGTAAAAAAAAAAATAATTATTTTTCCCTAATTGGCCAACTCTTCATTGTGAAATATTTAAATTTAATAAAAGTAAGAATAAAAACTTAATTTTAATTTGCAATTTGGCATTCAACTTTTTTTAATATTATTAAAGAAATAGTTTTGAGACAGAAAAACATGTTCAAAAATATTTTTCTATATTTATTTTATTCAATAATATTTTTATTAAAAAAAAATTAAAAAAAACCCTGAAATTTCTTTTTATTCCAAAATAATTAACAGTAGTTACCGCTGATGCCCAGCAGACCGATACTAATACACTTGACTTTAATATACATACATATACATATATTATATACACATCATGCATAATTTGTATCTGTAAAAAAGCTAGAAAGCTGGCATTTTTGGCATTGCATAAGTGTAATTGCAACAACAATAAAAGGTTAACGTGATTTCAACTACAATGTTATTGATTAGAATTAGTGACCTGCATATATGTACATACATACACATATTTGTGCATATGTACACATAATATACACATATAAAAACAAGTACGTGACTTTTCTGAAAATCGATGGAAAATTCATGGTATAACATAAGCACAAAAATACCAATAACAAATGCATAACAATGACAACTGACACTGTTTTCCACGGAGGACTAATAAATGCGCCAACTAAGCAAGCCACCAATCAACTAGTTAGTTAGCCAGCCAGTGAGCCAGTCAGCCAGCCAAAAAAGGCAGTTTTGAAAGCATACATATAGTATATACCTTTATATATATATATATTTATATGTACATAACTAATCAGCGTACATATAACATTTGTCTTTTATTTCGAACAAAAAAAAAAACGCAAATATAAAAAGGAAATGACGTTTTACTTTTATTACATACATACCTACAAACATACATCTATATACATACATATATTTTGCCTTTTTTGTCTTCTTTTATTTGCGCTTAAATCGTTTTTCTGCAACTTTATCACGTACGCTTGCGCATTACAATATTATTTTGTAAATAAAAAATAAAAGAAGAAGAAGAAAAATGTAAACACAACAAAAGCTAAAACCTACAACAACAACAACAACACAAATAGCATATAAATTTTCACTTTCAGTTTCCGGCAGCAAGCAAACTAATATAACAATAAATTCCTTTGAAGAAAAAACCTACAACACCGTTAAAAAATGGACGAGGAAAAATCTGAACTACACATGACGTCTGTCGGTCGCTGCATTGTTGTTGATTTCTATAAATGAACCATAACGAGTTGGTTAATTTATTTTTCCGCAGGAGTTGAGTAAAATGTGCAGAGAGACAGCGAGATTTGT